TACAGTAGAACCTCGATTATCCGCCCCCCGATCAACCGACCCCTCGGTTAACCGACCGTCCTAGTCGGCAAATTTCAAATGTCCGCTAGTGATGTGGCGCTACAATATTTGGCTATGTCTTGGCTACTTTAATATTATTTTTGTGTGTTTTAGCTGGCAACACTGGATCAATCGTGAAAGGGAGCCAGTATTTAAACGAGGCTTAATTTTCTAATTTTTAACGATACAATAGTGATGATTATTATTTTAAAAAAAAATTTGATAGGCTTAACATGGAGAAAAATTCAACACGGAGTAGGTTAATAGCGCTATACTAATATACTAATTACATGGGATATAATAATATACTACACTAATACTGGATTTTTTCATACTTTTCGGTTATCCGACTTTTCAATTATCCGACCAACTCCAATCCCCAATTGAGTCGGATAATCGATGCTCTACTGTATTTGCTTTTTCTGTGAGTTGTCAAGAAGTGCCAATGTTGTACAAGATTAAAACATATATAAATTTTTCTCATATTAAAAATATTTGTTTCAAAATGTTTATACTAATTTTAAAATAGCTCATGCATATCAATGTTTTAGGAATCTATATGTAATATTTCTAAAATATAGCATCTTAATTATATATAAAGCTATATTGGCCTCCCTCACTTGGCACCAACATGAAATGTTTAAGTGAATTTTACTGAAAAAGTAAATGGTCCATTAGAAAGAAGTCTTGCGTATGTTACCAGAAAAGTGTGTATAAATTCACTACTGTTTATATTAAGGAAATAAAAATTTTGAAAAGTCTTACTTTTCAAAATTTTTCTTCTTTCCTTAATACAAAAAGTATACTAATAAAATAAAGTAGAATTTTATTATAATCATAAGTCTAGTTATCAGTCAGTTACTGATTTATGTTTTGGAACATGGTAATTATGATAAATATATATCAATTCTTTATAAATATATTTTAACTTATCTTTACCATCAGGTAAACAGTTTTAAGTTTTATTTCTTGTGCATTATTAATCTCAACACATGGTTGATAATGTAGAATTGTTGTTATCATTTTTAATCAATCCTATATAAATGGTAATTGTTCTAATAATTATTTAAATTTCTGGCATTTCTTACTTTATTTATCTATATATGCTAGTTGTTAAAGATAATACTGCAAAAAAAGGCATTAAAAGGATATGTCAAAACAATTAAAAACTGCATAACTTTAATTCACCCAATGTTATTTCCCCCCAAAGTTAATAAATCCAAAATTTTTACTAATGCAGTCTTATTCACTTATTCCACTTCATTTTATCAGTTAGTTGTTGTTAGTCCAAAGTTATAACAAATTCTGCAGTACTATATTTAAATAATAATGAAATTATGAATAGTTGTTGAGATTTAAGAATTATATAGCACATTGATTAATAATATATTATACTTTGAAAGTTTTAATTATAATTTACATGAATTTTATTTCTTCTAATGTTTTAAAATTATTTACTAAATTTTTTTTCAATTAAATTATTATTTTATATCTAGGTGCCTACACCCAATTCTTTAGCATCTAGACAACATACTAATAATTTGAATAATAGGTGGGAAAGAAGAGATAGCAATGTAAGTAATCATAGTGTAGGATATCAAACAAAACCAGCTACAAATCAGTATCAACCTGCAAGTAAAGCACCAAGTGGTGATAATAAGAAAACAGAAAAGAAAGAGGGTAAAGAAAAAACTCAGGTAAATATAGTACAGACATAAATTTTTAAGTATTTTCTCTACTCTATACTTTGTTCTCTTAATTGAAAGTCATAAATCTAAACTAAGATGTGTTCTCAGAGTAAATTTTTGTCAAAACATCTGGTAATTTTTATTGATATTATGTATTTATAGATTCTATGTTTGTGATGATGACTTATGTGCTTTATTGTTCAATTACATTAAAGGAGAATGTTTTAATTATTACTTTATCTTAATTTTTTTTTTAATCAAAACTTAAATATTCAAAATACTAGTTTTTGTACAGATTTTATCTTTTAGAGACATTATATTTGTATTAATATAAATCTCAAGTCTGCAAATGATAAAATAGATACTATAAGTGAAAATTGCTGAATATATTCAAGGTCAAAAAATATGTTTTATTATTGTATTAAAATTTAGATAAAATACTTGTTTTCTCACATTCAGAATAAATTAATATTATGAAATCAAATAAATATTTTAAACACTTCTCAGACTGAACCTAATTTTCAGGGTCAGAAAAAATTCACTTCATGGACATTTTTGGGCTCCTGTAGAGCCCTGCTTCAGGTTAACATTGCCCTTACATTGACAGAACACAAAATTAAAAATTAAAATTTGAATGTTCATAACAAGCAAATCATATCATTATCCGTTGAGAATGGGACAAGTTAAAACAAACAGAAGGCATTAGAGTGTCTGCCTAAACATTATGAAAAATGGAATAAGATCCATGTGTCCATCCATGCATGCAGAAGAGGTCCTATGATAACTAAATATTTAGTGCTGGTTCTTAAAGGGCCTATCAAGCTGCCAACAAAGAAAGTTCTTCTTTGTGATTGATATACATGTTTAAACTAGCTTTAAAAATTTCTAAAGCTTCTAAATATATAAGCTGGTTGGTTCACTGGAACAAACAATGCATGACATGTGTTCCATTTTTTGTAATGTTTAGGCAAACACTCCAATGCCTTCTGTTTGTTTTAAATCTGTTCCATTCTCAACAGATAGTGATATGACTTGCTTGTTACAAACATTCAAATTTTAATTTTGTGTTCTGTCAACAAAAGGGCAATGTTTACCTGAAGCAGGGCTCTGGAGAAGCCCAAAAACATTTGTAAAGTGCAATTTTTTCCGACACTGGAAATTAGGTTCACTGTGAGAAGTGTTTAACATTTGGTGTGAAGTGTTCTCTCTCGTTTCATAAATATTTTATTACTCATAATATGAAAATGAGTATTCTAGTAATATACTTGTTCTGTTTTAATTTTTTGGGATCATACAGGTTTAACTTTTCATTAAAAAATAATAAGACAGAAGTTCAATGATATAAGTGATAATGGTATATCTGTAAGATCTACTGGCATCTTGAGTTAAATTCATTAAATATCAAAGGTTTAGAAATTAGACCTTTCTTGGGATTTAACAACTTGGTCTGACATGGCTTGCATAAGCAGAAGTACAATGTAATGAGTTTTGTACTTGGTTCGTAGCTCCTTTTTCATCCGTGTGCAACCTCCATGTCCAGTTTTTAAGTGGGTATCGTGCAATATGTCAAAAAATTCTTTTGTATGCACATAGTACAAAATATTGATATTGTGTCCTGTTATTGGCACAATAAATGTTTCTTTGCCGTCTGCTTCAATAACATGATATTTTCTTGGTCGATGTTAGTCAACACTTTCTTTTTTCTGCTTTGCTTTTGTTTGTTTAATGTCCTCTTGATGAGGATCCCACTATTATTTGCTTTTACTTGCAGCAACATATTCAAAGTATCCGAGAACCTGATTTTCACGTCAAATGTTGGTTCCGCATTTACATGTAGTCCAACTTCACCCAGCATATTTGTCTTATCCAAAGTAGCCATGGGACAACCTATGGAAAAACAATTATGAATATTTGAAATTGTAATATTGTTACATGGGATACAGCCTCAGTAAATTGTGTTCTGTTGCTAATTTAATACTTTCCTTTAAAGGAAAATGTATTATAGCAAACAATCTTTTATTAACCTCATCATAATTGCTGTATGCTTCTTCCAGCAATGTGTGTCATCACACACCCCACAACACACATTATATGTGCCCTACGACTTAACCTTTGAACTCAAGTATTCATATAGAATACTACAGGCATACCTCGACTTACGTCGTTTCCGATTATACATCGTTTGTCAAAAAAGTATATGGAAAAAGAAAAATCAAGTTTAAGTCATTTTATTCGACTTTACGTCTGTCTGCTACAAATATTGAAGTCATAATATCACTAGAAAAACGTTTAAAGCACATAAAATCATATTAAAATATATACAAGTATGAACTGTATTTACAGTACATGCATTCATAAATTTAGATTACTTTTTTTCTGTACTATATTAAAAACTAAAATTTATTTGTTTGTAAGCTTAAAATAGATTTTTATTAACCATATATTATTAAAAATGCATTAATAAATAAAATACAGAACTGGGAATGGTAATTTATAGTTTAGCCTAGTGATAAGTAGATTCGGAGACAAGCAAATTCGACTTACGTCGTTCTCCTGGAACCAATTACCGACGTAAGGCGAGGTATACCTGTATAGAAATACGGGAATACAGTGCTCACAATGAAACTGTTAAGTCAGAATAATTAAGAACAAGTCAGAGGCAGGACCTTCTCTGAAAAGCAGCGGACATGCAGAATATTATTGTCACAACATGGCACCTTTCTTGCTAGTATGTCCACAGCACTATCACATCAGAAGCGAAAGATGTGCCACCTACAGTCTTGCATCAGCACATCGAATTTTAGCCAGAAATTTCCCGCCAATTCACAAAATAACCGGCCAAAGTAGCATATACACTGGCCATTTTGAGTACATTGGACATTGACCACTCGTCTTGGCCAAAGTGTGAAATGGTTAGCCAATTCAGAAAGTGGCCGAACTTCGGGCTTTGGCCACAACATATGTATAAACATCCTAAAGCCAAATGTGTTAATACTAATCCAAATTATCTTCGTTATTGGCATGAAAAATTGACTAAAAAATGAGCATTTAAAAGCTTATTTTTTTATACTATTTTATGAATAGATTTGAGCTATTCATAAAATAGGATAAGAACCTCAAGAATTTTTCATATATACTCTGTCTGGGATATATTGGACCTTGTCCTTTGCTAAACCCAAAATGGATATTATTAAAAAGACTTCCTGCCTTGTAGGCACTAAGGAGTCAAAAATGAAATATATAGGGAGCACACAATAAATAAGCTTATGAATGAGGATATATGTCAATCAAAATTACCTTTCAGAGTCCTAAAAGATTGATGCTATTATCTTATCAGTTGAAGTATTACTTGAACTTTTTCTTCTGACGCAAGCTTGTGTGATGCCATTCCAAAGATTGCCCCTTTTTTTGTCTTGTGATCAAAGTGATGAATCCATGTTTTGGATAATAAGTCATCATTATTAGCCTAACAAGCAAGCAATTCATAGCTGACCATAAACAAAGTAGAGCTAAACTTTGAAGGACCCATCTGGCACATGCCTTTGAATTTCATAACTGGTATATGATTGTATTGACATTACACCATCTTTAATAATATCAAGCTAAGCGACAAGTTCTCTGGTTATTCCAAATAAAGGTATTAGTGTGTTTTATTATTTTCATCAGTTGTTGTTGGCTGGCCCGAGTGAAGGGGATCAGGCAGCTTACCATGACTTTGCTCTGATGATGACAGTCAGTTTCCCAAATGACTGAATGCTTTTATACACTAGTGTCTCCATAGATTTTCTCTTAAAAAAAATTCAATCCCTGCTCTGTGTTCCAAACCTCATTCCTATTGCATGTCAAAGCTTAATTGCATTGCTGCCTCCTGATGACAACCATTGAAACTATATGTGAATAAACATGGGAAACTTGAATAATAATGCTGCAAATAAAAATTTTTTCCACTAAATTTGGCTAAGAAAAACATTGTATTGCATTATTTATTGGACAATTAAATTTAATTATTAACATCCAATTATACAAGATTTATGTCTTCATAGAGAGTAATTAGTAATCATTTAATTAAAAATAGAAGAAAACTTTTCTTGGATGTTGCTTTTTTATTTCATGCTTATTAAGTTCATTTACATTATCCATTACAGTTAGTTTTATAAAAAGTTTTATTTAAAACAATTTCTTATAATTTTATAAAAATGAATAAAAATAAAATTTATTGTCCTATTTTCAGTTTTAAAATTAAAATATTTATATTTAGGTGGGTAGAAGTTGGCTAGGGGGTATCTTTAGTAAATTTCTACCTAAAGCCCCAAACCAAATGATTCTACCAGATGATAAAAATCCTGCTGTAAGTATTTTTTTTTATTTTCCCTGTGTGTGTGTGTATATATATATATATATATATAATTTTAGAATAATTTTTAAATATTACTGAAATGATCATGAATAAAAATTGCTTGCATTATTAATGGAAGGAATCAGAAACAAATTATCAATAGAATTTTATAGGTATAAAATTTCTATTATAAAAAATGTTACTTATCAACAAACAATTCAAAAGTTTACTGAATCTAAATATTCTTCATGAGAGAATAGGAAAATGTATATATATTAATACAATAAATAACAATAAAAGGTCTTTTGTTTTTGTTTTCTGTATCTATCAAGCATTATATGAAAGCTTACAGATATAATTCTCTTTTATTAAGGCACAAATACCAAACACAAAATTTTAATTCTCATTAAGAATAATAAAATTGTATCGTTATCAAATATATTCCTTTCAGTTCATCATTTTTACTGACATGGTTGTTACCAAAAATTTTTGGTTTATTTGAGAAATAAGGTAATAACTGTCTTTTGTGGAATAGTTTTATTTATAAACTGACATCTATTCTAAAGATTTTTGTCATGATTGCTGTTCAAGTACTGGTCCCAACACAATAGCAAGACAGATTTTTCACAAGTTCATGTGTCAGGAGATTGTGCAGAGAAGCATCAGCAGATTGTAGGCAAAGCATCCGGGAGCAAAGTGTATGATGTACTGATTATATGATGCATCATTTCAGGTCTGCAATACTGTCAAATGGAAATTAATTGCACAAAATTCATCTGTATGGTTGAATCACTTTCAATTAATATAGGCCTGTCTGCATAGTTCTATAATTAACTGGCGTGGTGTGAGAATTGAAGGTGTTCTATTTAATATCTGAAGCATAATAATGTTCTTTTTCTATGTATAGCGAGCGTCCTTTTAATCCAAAAAAATTTATTGTGATAGACGATCTCACAGCTTGTATTAAAAGAACACTACACATAGAAATTGAATAAACAGCAACCACACTATATTAATAATAATGTTCTACCAGGTTGTTCAATAAGTTTTGTCGTTTGATAAGAAAAACACGATTTTATGGTTTGAAATACATTTTATTATTCAATATAATCTCCCTGAACTTCAATATGCTTGTTCCAGTGATTTTTCTAATTTATGGATTCCATCCCTAAAGTGAGAATCCGGAAGACTGTCGAAATACGTTTCCACAGCTACTATTACCTCTTCGTTAGATGAAAATCATTTCCCACACATGAATTTTTTGAGATATGAGAACAGCCAGAAGTCAGAGGAAGCTAAATCTGGCGAATAGGGAGGATGTTGCAACAATTCGTATTTTAATGTACTGATTTTCACAATGGTTTTTTGAGCTGTGTGAGAGGGTGCGTTGTCTTGATGAAAAATGATTTTTTTTCTTTTTTAAACCAGGTCTTTTCTCACAAATTTTTACGTCCAGCTGGTCCAAAAGGTTACAATAATAATCTGAGAATTGTTTTACCAGTTTGGAGGTAATCCACAAACAAAATTCCTTTTGCATCCCAAAAAACTGATGCTAACACCTTGGCTGATTTCTGGATCCTAACTCGATTTGGAGCTGAAGTACTGGGTTCACACCACTCTTTAGCCTCTTGTTTTGATTCAGGATCATGGTGGTAGACCCATGTCTCATCCATAGTGATGAAACGACGCACAAAATCCTTTTTATCCTTTCTAAAACGCTCCAAATGTTGCTGAGAAAGTTGCATTCGAATGTGTTTTTGTTCCATAGTTAACGAATGCGGCACCCATTGTGCACACAGCTTTCTGTAACCCAAAACTTCAGCCAAAATATTGCTCACACTGCCTAACGAAATCCCTAGGGCTTCTACTAAATCTCTCTCGGTTAATCGACGATCTTCCAAAACCATATGCTGTATTTTTGCTACGATTTCTGGTGTTGATGCACTTTTTGGACGTCCTTCACGTGGATCGTCTTCAAGACTCGTACGACCACGTTTAAATTCAGCAACCCATCTTTCTACTGTTCTGATTGAAGGTGAAGAGTTCTTATACACTTTTAACAATCGTTCATGAATTTGTTTTGGTGCTACACCTTCCAAAAATAAGAATTTTATCACTGCACGATATTCAATTTTTTCCATTGTAAAAAAATACAGTGACACGCCAACTTTGAACAGCTGCAAATATACAATGAGTTGACGGATCTACTTGAAACTTAACACGTGTTTATGAAATATTAGTACTATTTATAGAGAAATAAAGTGACGATCCTAATAGCGCCACCTCTTATCGAACGACAAAACTTATTGAACAACCTGGTATTTAATACCTGGAAACATTATGTTCAGTTCTCAACATACTGGTTAATTACAGAATTATTCAGCTGGGCATACATTAGTTAAAAGTGATTCAATCATGCTGATCACTCATATGAATTTTTTGCAATTCATTTCCATTTGACAGTATTGCAGACCTGAAATGATGCTATATATCATGATCATATAACCAGTATATTATATACTTGACTCTGAAGCTTTGCCTACAATCTCTTATGGTGTGTGACTTTGGACATAATGGGATATAGTGTTTTTCTTAGCACTGTATATCCCATTATAGAAGAATTCTGGATTATGCTTATGGAGCCATTTGGTGACAATCTGATATTTCATCATTCATCTGAAATTGTGAGCTGTCTGGATGATGCTTCAAAAGATCAGAAAAATAGTAATCACTGAATGTAAGATTAGGAATGTACAGAGGATGTTCCAACAGTTACCAGCCTTATTGATAAGACTATTGCGTAAATTGTTACAATATTTAATTTGCCATTTTTTTGTTAACACAGACAAGTTTCATTAATTTATATTATATTGTTTGACTTTTTTAAATCTTACTGTTTAATAGTTTGAATTCTTTCCTGATTCGATTTTAAAATAGCATTTTGTTTTATATTCCTCATTTCCAACTAAAAGTTATTGTTTGCACTTAATCAATAGACAATAAATTCATTATTTTGTAATACTATGTTTAAAATTAATTTTTGATATTAATTGATAAAACTCTAAAGAAGAGTTAAATATTGAAGTATTACTGACATGTTTTGATAGGCATTATTCAAATTATACATTTGTATTGTCTTCAGCATTTTAATCTTTATTTTTGTTAATCAAATTAAGATAACTAAATAGTAAGGAAAAGAATGAAAACATAGTGTTAAAAATTACAACAGATTACAAATATATAATGTTTTTATATTTTTATAAAAATACATAGAATAATATAACATTCAATTTATGTTTATCTAAGAAAGAAATTTGTTTGTCCTATTTATTGTTGATGCCAGTATTGTCCAAATGATATTAAACATTAATACTTATCACTGATGTTTATTTTTATTACTATTTCATAACAAAGATATATTTACTTTAGAGTATCTGCAGAAATTCAATACAAATGATCTTGATTTTTCACTTATTTCTCTTGATCTATAATAATTTTTCTCCCTGTAACAATATGTGAAAGATTTGTTAGTTACATGTTAATTGAATTTATAACACCACATATTTTAAGAAAACTAAACTGCATATAATTTTCATTCAATCAAGAAAATCATTAACATGTAAAATATTTATTATACAGTACTTCTTAAATGCAAGTAAAATTAGATTAAGATGTCAAGATTTTATTATTTTCCAGTTAATTTTGGAACTCAAGAAGATTTAAAATATTTAGTTAAAATTTTCAGAAACTGAGTAATGTGCTATTTCTCTTTATATTATGTGATGATACTTATTTAAAGTTATCATTAATGCAATAATTGTAATCTATTAGAATTCAAATTCTGTTAAAATATTTTCATACAAAGAGAGAGATTCAAAATTTATAGATATTTAATAACAAATTTTATTTTATATATAAATTTGAAACTGACTTTATACAAGACAGTGCAGTCTGTCAAATATTGCAGTTTTATGCTTAATTTTACGTAATGTATAAAATATGCTAATATAAAAATTTTTCAGTCAAATTTTGAAATGTGTGTAAATACTTTTTACATTTTATATATATTGATCATTTCTAATTTTTATACATATACATATATTTTAATTCTAGATTGTTTGGGATTCCAATAAGAATTGTTGGGTTAATACAGATGAAACAGATGATAATGAAAATGAAAAACTTGCTCCTCCGCCAAAGGATTCAGATCTAATAAGTATGTGTTCTAACTCGTTCCATTAATATCAAATAATTTTAAATAATAATGTATTTGCATTATTTTATATGAATATATACATACAAAATAAGATATTTAAAATGTACAGTAAAATTTAAAAATTAAATTAATTAAAATGCAAATATTATTTTCATGAAGAAAAAAAAGAAGAATCAAGTGGAAAAGTATTTATGCTTCCACCTGGTCAAAACAAATTTCAAAGACCAAAAGTGCGAGGTAATTAAACAGGAGGATGAATTTACTTAATTTATTTGTAAATCTTTAAGTAAAATAAACTTCAGAATAATAATACTTCTATCATTTAATGTGGAGCAGTGGTTCTCACCCTTTTTTGAGCTGATGGTACGTTTATTCAACACTAACATATGAATTAGCTTATATATATATATA